GAGCTTACAGTGTTTGCTCTGTTTCATGTGGATGTCTGTTGATGGCCTTGGAAAGAGAAAATCCTGCACACTACTCCTGCTCAGCAGAGGGTTAGGGTTCTAACCCGGGTGAACTAAGGAGTTAGATGGTAAGTAGGCCTGTAACGGTATCTGTCTTTGTCTGCATGCAGTCACACAATGAAAACGTCTACGTGGAGAAAGAAGGCAATCACACAGAGCTGTTCTAAAGAACGCACACAGATCCACAATACAGACACAAACAGTTTTGGGGTAAAGTTGAGAGGTCTGTTGGATAGGTCAATGGGAGTCAGAGTCAGGACACCAGGAGTCAGAATCAGGATACCGAGAGTCACAGCAAGGATACCGGGAGTCAGAGTCTAGTAATCAGGAGTCCTAACACCGAAAGTCAGAGTCAGGACATGGAGAGTCAGAGTCAGGACACTAGCAGTCAGAGGCAGGTCACTGGGAGTCAAAGTCAGGACACCAGGAGTCAGAGTCAGGACTACGGGAGTCAGAGTCAGGACACCTGGAGTCAGAGTCAGGACACCGGGAGTCAGAGTCAGGAGTAGGGTTGCCACCTGTCCCGTAAAATACGGAATCGTCCCATATTTTACACTTTGATATGGGACACGGTTTGTCCCGTATTTCCAAGATGCCTTGAACTCAGCATCATTCTTCTCGCATTCAGCCGGCTAGTTCCTGCCCCCTCAGAGTGTCCGTTGGTTTGTTTGGTTCTTTTTTGGCATGAACAATGATAGCTTGTCAGTGATTGGGTGAGAGAAAGTCATAGGAGTCAGAAGGAAACATGTCTGACACATCCATTTCAGAGAAAAAACAGGAGTTATTATGGTCAGTTCTAAGTTGAACTAACGATGGGACTGAAATATAATAATCTGTAGTTTGGACTACAAAAGACTGTAACGTCTGAAGCAGGTAAACAGACTGTGGTGTCTACAGCAGGTAAACAGACTGTGGTGTCTACAGCAGGTAAACAGACAGGCTGTAACGTCTGCAGCAGGTAAACAGACTGTAACGTCTGAAGCAGGTAAACAGACTGTAACGTCTGAAGCAGGTAAACAGACTGTGGTGTCTACAGCAGATAAACAGACAGGCTGTAAAGTCTGCAGCAGGTGCAGCAGGTAAACAGACTGTAACGTCTGCAGCAGTGAAACAGACTGTAGTGCAGATGCTGCAGCAGGTAAACAGACAGGCTGTATTGTCTGCAGCAGGTAAACCGACTGTAGTGTCTGCAGCAGGTAAACAGACTGTAACATCTGCTGCAGGTAAACAGACTGTAACGTCTGCAGCAGGTAAACAGACTGTAACGTCTGAAGCAGGTAAACAGACTTTAGTGTCTACAGCAGGTAAACAGAAAGGCTGTAACGTCTGCAGCAGGTAAACAGACTGTAATGTCTGCATCAGGTAAACAGACTGTAGTGTCTACAGCAGATAAACAGACTGTGGTGTCTACAGCAGATAAATAGACAGGCTGTAAAGTCTGCAGCAGGTGCAGCAGGTAAACAGACTGTAACGTCTGCAGCAGGGAAACAGACTGTAGTGCAGACGCTGCAGCAGGTAAACAGACAGGCTGTAATGTCTGCAGCAGGTAAACCGACTGTAGTGTCTGCAGCAGGTAAACAGACTGTAATATCTGCAGCAGTTTAACAGACTGTAGTGTCTGCAGCAGGTAAACAGGCTGTAACGTCTGCAGCAGGTAAACAGACTGTAATGTCTGCAGTAGGTAAACAGACTGTAGTGTCTGCAGCAGGTAAACAGGCTGTAATGTCTGCAGCAGGTAAACAGACTGTAACCCTCTGCAGCAGGTAAACAGACTGTAACATCTGCAGCAGGTAAACAGACTGTAATGTCTGCAGCAGGTAAACAGACTGTAACATCTGCAGCAGGTAAACAGACTGTAATGTCTGCAGCAGGTAAACAGACTGTAACATCTGCAGCAGGTAAACAGACTGTAATGTCTGCAGCAGGTAAACAGACTGTAATGTCTGCAGCAGGTAAACAGACTGTAGTGTCTGCAGCAGGTAAACAGGCTGTAATGTCTGCAGCAGGTAAACAGACTGTAACCCTCTGCAGCAGGTAAACAGACTGTAACATCTGCAGCAGGTAAACAGACTGTAACGTCTGTAGCAGGTAAACAGACTGTAACGTCTGAAGCAGGTAAACAGACTGTAATGTCTGCAGCAGGTAAACAGACTGTAACATCTGCAGCAGGTAAACAGACTGTAATGTCTGCAGCAGGTAAACAGACTGTAGTGTCTGCAGCAGGTAAACAGACAGACTGTAACGTCTGCAGCAGGTAAACAGACTGTAACGTCTGCAGCAGGTAAACAGACAGACTGTAACGTCTACAGCAGGTAAACAGACTGTAATGTCTGCAGCAGGTAAACAGACTGTAACATCTGCAGCAGGTAAACAGACTGTAACATCTGCAGCAGGTAAACAGACTGTAACGTCTGCAGCAGGTAAACAGACTGTAGTGTCTACAGCAGGTAAACAGACAGGCTGTAAAGTCTGCAGCAGGTAAACAGACTGTAACGTCTGCAGCAGGTAAACAGACTGTAACGTCTGCAGCAGGTAAACAGACTGTAACGTCTGAAGCAGGTAAACAGACTGTGGTGTCTACAGCAGGTAAACAGACTGTGGTGTCTACAGCAGATAAACAGACAGGCTGTAAAGTCTGCAGCAGGTGCAGCAGGTAAACAGACTGTAACGTCTGCAGCAGTGAAACAGACTGTAGTGCAGATGCTGCAGCAGGTAAACAGACAGGCTGTATTGTCTGCAGCAGGTAAACCGACTGTAGTGTCTGCAGCAGGTAAACAGACTGTAACATCTGCTGCAGGTAAACAGACTGTAACGTCTGCAGCAGGTAAACAGACTGTAACGTCTGAAGCAGGTAAACAGACTTTAGTGTCTACAGCAGGTAAACAGAAAGGCTGTAACGTCTGCAGCAGGTAAACAGACTGTAATGTCTGCATCAGGTAAACAGACTGTGGTGTCTACAGCAGGTAAACAGACTGTGGTGTCTACAGCAGATAAACAGACAGGCTGTAAAGTCTGCAGCAGGTGCAGCAGGTAAACAGACTGTAACGTCTGCAGCAGGGAAACAGACTGTAGTGCAGACGCTGCAGCAGGTAAACAGACAGGCTGTAATGTCTGCAGCAGGTAAACCGACTGTAGTGTCTGCAGCAGGTAAACAGACTGTAGTGTCTGCAGCAGGTAAACAGACAGGCTGTAACTTCTGCAGGTAAACAGACTGTAGTGTCTGCAGCAGGTAAACAGGCTGTAACGTCTGCAGCAGGTAAACAGACTGTAATGTCTGCAGCAGTTTAACAGACTGTAGTGTCTGCAGCAGGTAAACAGACAGGCTGTAACTTCTGCAGGTAAACAGACTGTAGTGTCTGCAGCAGGTAAACAGGCTGTAACGTCTGCAGCAGGTAAACAGACTGTAATGTCTGCAGTAGGTAAACAGACTGTAGTGTCTGCAGCAGGTAAACAGGCTGTAATGTCTGCAGCAGGTAAACAGACTGTAACGTCTGCAGCAGTTTAACAGACTGTAACGTTTGCAGCAGGTAAACAGACTGTAGTGTCTGAAGCAGGTAAACAGACAGGCTGTAACTTCTGCAGGTAAACAGGCTGTAACGTCTGCAGCAGATAAACAGGCTGTAATGTCTGCAGTAGGTAAACAGACTGTAACGTCTGCAGCAGATAAACAGGCTGTAACGTCTGCAGCAGATAAACAGGCTGTAATGTCTGCAGTAGGTAAACAGACTGTAATGTCTGCAGCAGATAAACAGACTGTAATGTCTGCAGTAGGTAAACAGACTGTAACGTCTGCAGCAGATAAACAGGCTGTAACGTCTGCAGCAGATAAACAGGCTGTAATGTCTGCAGTAGGTAAACAGACTGTAATGTCTGCAGCAGATAAACAGACTGTAATGTCTGCAGTAGGTAAACAGACTGTAACGTCTGCAGCAGGTAAACAGACTGTAACGTCTGTTCAGTGTGTTTGCTGATCTGCAGCTGATCTCACACACACACACACACACACACACACACACACACACACACACACACACACACAGCTGTTGTCATTTACTAAACTTCAATAAGTTGATAGCATGTGCAAGCTAACAACAGTTAGCAAGGTAAATGTATCTAGTGAGGGTGACCCATATGGCCCTGATTGGATGGTCAAGAGCCGGGTCAAATGCAACGTCACCATTGGGTGATACTAAAGAGCGAAATGGTGCAGTGTATGTAGAAGTGAATGTTGAAGTGGATGGTTTTGTACGTTGGTCAATGAATGTGCATTGCTATTAGATAATGGACTACATAAACACAACACATTATGACCTTACTTGTCTGTGCTGCTGCAACGCCCAAATTTCTCCTCTGGGGACCAATAAAGTACTATTTTATCCTATCCTATAAGCGTTCACTTATCCGTGCACAGAACAGGCTTCATACACACCGGCATAGACATGAACATGTACAATAATTAAGAAAGTATTCGCCCGCCATAATCTGCCCGCTATAGAGACAGACAGACGGACATGTTGTCTGTGTTTTGCTAAAGTGCTACAATTATCTTAGAATGAGCCTGAGTACAGTTAGCAGTTAGCACCGAGCTATCTTCTGACTCTTCATTAATCGACATATTAGACCTTTTATCTCATTGTTTTCACTTTTTGTTTGATGTTTGGTATTAAAATCTTTATTTCTTACACAAAGGAAAATTATTATTAAATTCCCCCCACAGAGCACACAGCCTTCCGGATTTTAATGTTGTAATAGTTTAACTCATTAAAATCCCATGTTCGCTCTGTCTTAACGAGTTAATCGGTGTTCGCTGAATGACAGCCACTCCGACGGCCCGCTACGCTCTCTGACAGAGGGCGGGGCTTACGTGACATTCCAGCGTCCTACGTCAAAACTCAGAAACTGATTGGTAGAAGAACCAGGTTGCATCCATTTCCACGCTCGCTATTGGCCGCTGTTGATGTCACTCAGATGATCCTCAGCGCGGTGACAGATGTCTTTGGAAGAAGGAGGAAAAAAAACAAAAAACAAACATAATCTGAGTGTGGCAGCCATCTTGGTTCCGCTGGCTCCGGCAGGGAGAGAGAGGGAAAAGGGAAAGAGGACGGAGAGGAGGCCGGGCGGGGACCGACGCAGCTCGGATGTTTGTTTGTGTTCAGTCAGGGTTAGATTACTCGACGAAGCAGCCCCGCACTTGGGGAGTCTGTGCGGTGGGTAGTCGCGGTTTGTGGTTTTCCTCCGCGGTTTCACTCAGGAAACCCGCAACAATCAAACCAGGAGGACAGCTAGCTTTGGAGCTAAGCTAACGGCTAGCCGGACCAGCTCGCTGTTCGGTGACCGAGCTGTGGTGACCGGCGGCGGAGTGAAGCTTCAGCCTCGCTCGGGAACATCCAGGCTGACTGTGGAGAGCTCTGACCCAGGTCACACAGCGGGTCATGGTGTGATAACCCGGGGTAAAGTCTCCCTAGGTGTTAGCCCGCAGGAGAAGCTGGAGGCTGTGTGAGAATGTGGAGCCTCGGCTTAATCCCTCTCGGAAGCATAATCCGTGTTCATGGATGAAATGTCCCGTTTAATGCCTGACAAGGTGGCTATCCTCCCGCATTAGATACATCGACAGTCCCGGTAAAATCCCGGTGTTCAATTGTTGGTGACAGTCCGGGATTTGAAGCCGGTTCCTCCCGCTGACAGCTGCATCTCTGTGCCCGGGCCGGAGCTCACACACCCGGGAAGGACTCCGCTCATCACCCGGCTCTTCTTCAGGTTAAACCGTGCACACCGGGCCTGCTCAGGTGTTTGGACCGGTACATGGTGCAGAGACTTGGTGTCCTCTGCATGAAGCTGTTCGTTTAAAGGGACGATTATACAGACCGAGTGTGTGCCCGAAATAAAGAGTTCCGTCTGTGAGCAGCCATGGGCTCAGCCGTCAGAGCGGCCTTCAGCCTACTCCTCCTGTCCTTCTGCTCAGGTGAGGGCACCTGGTCAATACACACTGTACACACTCTGTACACACTCTGTACACACTCTGTACACACACACACACACACACTCACTGTACAAACACACTCTGTACACACACACACACACTGTACAGAAACACTCTGTACACACACTCACTGTACAAACACACTGTACACACACACACACTGTATAGACACACAAACACACACACTGTACAGAAACACACTGTACACACACTCTGTACACACACACACACTGTACACACACACTCACTGTACAAACACACTCTGTACACACACACAAACACACACTGTACACACACACTCACTGTACAAACACACTCTGTACACACACACAAACACACACTGTACACACACACTCACTGTACAAACACACACTGTACACACACACAAACACACACTGTACAGAAACATACTACACACACTCTCACTGTAAAAACACACTGTAAACACACACACTCACTGTACAGACACACACTTTACACAGATGCACTGTACAAACACACACACACGCACACACACACACACTGTATACACATGCACACTTTACACACATACACTGTACAAACACACACACACACACACTGTACACACACTATACACACTGTACATACACACACACACACACACACACATTTTTATTTTTTAATAAAATAAAGACTTCGGTTGTTGAAGCGATCACATTCACAGTTCATACCCTTGTTGGCGACCTAGGTTTTACTCATGTTCTCATAATGTCATTTTCTATTTTGCATTTACATCAATTAAGGACACCTACAACTTCTGTTTCTAATAACATCACCAAACTGCACACTCTGAAGACTGAGGTTTACTACCAAGCATATCTACATTGTTTTAGTTAGGAGTGTTGTGGTGTGACTGTGTTTCCAGCTGTGCTGAAGATTCACTCGGATGCTTCACTTAAACACAGATGAGAGGATTTTACAGTCCACATACCACAACAACGGCAGGCGAGTTTCAATTACCGTAAAATCTGGACTATAAGCCCCACCGGTATTAGACGCACCTTGTTTTTGAAGGTCTCTCAGAGAGAAAAAACTGTTTAAACTGTCTTGTCTGTGTGACGAGTTCTATTGTGTTCAGTAACGTCAACAACGAGCAGTTTCTGTTAACTGTGTCGCTCGTTTAGTTCCGTCTGTTTTCACTTTCGGTAGTTTGCTCTCCTACTAACTACAGTACGGTAGTTGAGCTCTCAGCCTGCAGGGAAAGTTGTGAAGCTGAGGCACAGACCGGCCGGCTTGACTCCGCTGGTCACTCTTTAACTTCAACATATGACTCTTTCAATCAAACGAGCACTCAACAAGGTTTATTTAGGGAACAATATACCACTGTATTCCGTGAATGAACGATGATGACCTCATGAATAAGTCTCCCTCCTCCACTCTCATGTTAGCCGGTTACCTTTCTAGCAGGGCTATCAGCTCTGCAGTCGTAGTGGCCACGGTAACGGGGGTTGAGTTGAAAAAGTAGCGTTTGTATTTTCGCCGGTTTTAAAAGTCATACCGCCGGGATTTCTAAATACTGTGGTATACTGTAATACCGCCCAAGCCTAACACACACAGATACACATACACAATGTACACACACACACACACACACACACACACACACACACACACAAAAACACGTACACACACACACACACACACACACACACACATTTTTCATTTATTCATAAATTTGAGAGCAAAAGAGAGAAAAAATGAGAGCACAGGGTGGAGTGCGTCCGTACATCCTTCTTACTCATATCAAAACTGAAGCTTATCATGGCTTAGTTAAAAAGAAAAATAATAATAACAGAAAATCTGTTAAGGCTACAGCTGCTTGCTGCTGATGTGCTGGACTCCTATAAATAAAGTTCCCCAAGTGGAACTTTTCAAAACGCGAGGCGTAGTCGTCGTGTTTATGACTGTGCACATGCGTGGATAAATTGAGCAGATTAAAATAGTTTGTTGCAAAAACTAAATTAATTTATAAGGAAAAACACATTTAATGTAAATACAAGCCTAATATTAAAGGGGATATATTCTGAAAAATCCACTTGTACAGATTTTTTGAACTTTGGGTAACCTGAGTGTCTACTGACCCACAAAATGTGAAATAAACCCATCCAGTCCTTTGTTTGTGGTCTGCATAAGTCTTACAACACAGAGAAAAGTGCTCCGTTTCAAATGTGAAATTAAAGGTGTATGAACGTGTTATTAACGAGTCCTCAGGTGTATGAACGTGTTATTAACGAGTCCTCAGGTGTATGAACGTGTTATTAACGAGTCCTCAGGTGTATGAACGTGTTACTAACAAGTCCTCAGGTGTATGAACGTGTTACTAATGAGTCCTCAGGTGTATGAACGTGTTACTAACGAGTCCTCAGTTGTATGAACATGTTATTAACTAGTTCTCACTTCTCCTCAGGTGCGATCCTGGGCCGCTCAGACACGCAGGAGTGTGTCCATTATAACTACAGCCCTTCGTCCTCCTCGTCATTGTCATCATCGTCAGGTTTGGAGAGTCGGGGAAACCTTAGCAAGGTGGTCACCTGCTCAGGAGAGAAAGACAAGAGACTGCACTGCTTTGCCACCTGGAAGAATGTGTCAGGCGTGATCCAGGTAGTCAAACAAGGCTGCTGGCTGGACGACGTCAACTGTTACGACAGGTAACCGTCACAAAATTATAGGACAGGTAACTATGAGGACAGGTATCTGTTAGGACAGGTAACTGTGAGGACAGGTATCTGTTAGGACAGGTAACTACGCGGACAGGTAACTGTGAGGACAGGTAACTGTTGGGACAGGTAACTAAGTACAGGTAACTGTGAGGACAGGTATCTGTTAGGACAGGTAACTATGCGGACAGGTAACTGAGGACAGGTAACTGTTGGGACAGGTAACTACGAGGACAGGTAACTGTGAGGACAGGTAACTGAGGACAGGTATCTGTGAGGACAGGTAACTACGAGGACAGGTATCTGTTAGGACAGGTAACTGTTAGGACAGGTATCTGTTAGGACAGGTAACTGTGAGGACAGGTAACTGTGAGGACAGGTAACTGTGAGGACAGGTATCTGTGAGGACAGGTAACTACGAGGACAGGTATCTGTTAGGACAGGTAACTGTGAGGACAGGTATCTGTGAGGACAGGTAACTACGAGGACAGGTATCTGTGAGGACAGGTAACTGTGAGGACAGGTAACTGTGAGGACAGGTATCTGTGAGGACAGGTAACTGTTAGGACAGGTAACTGTGAGGACATGGTACATGATGTGACAGACAACTGACCTTCCTCCTCCTCCCCTTACTCCCCCATCTCTTCTTTACCCTCTGTCTCCTCCTCCCCTTGCTCCTCCTCTTCTGTCCCTCCTCTTCTTTCTCCTCCTCCTCATCTAATCTCCTCTTCTTTACCCTCCTCCTCCTCCTCCTCCTCTTCTTTCTCTTCCTCCTCCTGCTCCTCCTCTTCTTTCTCTTCCTCCTCCTGCTTCTCCTCTTCTCTTCTTCTCTCCTCTTCCTCTTCTTTACCCTCCTCCTCCTCCTCTTTTCTTCTCTCCTCCTCTCTCCTGCTCCTTCTGCTCGTCCTCTTCCTCCTCTCTCCTGCTCCTTCTGCTCCTGCTGACAGGGATGAGTGTGTGGAGAGGAAGGACTCTCCTGATGTCTTCTTCTGCTGCTGTGAAGGAAGTTTGTGTAACAACAAGTTTTTCTACGGTCCTGACAGCAACCTGCCGCAGATACAAAGTAAGATCACCTGTTAACACGATCACCTGTTCACGTGTTCACATGATCACCTGTTCTTTTTTTTAATTTAATTTGTACGTGTTATACAGCACAAAGAAAAGGAAAAAAAACACAGACTTACCCCTGAGAAACAAAAACGGTACAGTAATTTATACTAAAAACAAGACAAATAAAAACAAAACAGGCACATTTTTGCATTATTACATCCAAACAGAAGGAGTCAGGTTTAGGAGTTAGTTCATTCCAGTCTGTACCCGTTCCTCTAGTACATTCTTTCGTAAGGTCAATCTGCGTCCTCATATATCCAAAGATAGTTCCTCCTGTATATCCGTACAGTTCCTTTATCAGTGTTTAGGCGGTACTGTACATCTAAGTGCGAAGAGTGCACATCAAACCAGAACAGAACCCAAATCCATCCATCGGGACCTCTGATGCACACTAGAGGGGGCTGTTGTACTCCAAGATACATGTGCATTTTTAGAAATCAAACATTGTGATGAGGGTTCATCATATTGAAATGAGTTGTCCATTTCCTCCATTAGTTATTACATTTGTCCAAACAAAGATTAAGGGAGGAAGTCCACATGATCACCTGTTCACCTGTTAACATGATCACCTGTTAACATGATCACGTTTACATGAACACCTGTTTACATGAACACCTGTTTACATGTTCACCTGTTAACATGATCACGTTTACATGAACACCTGTTTACATGAACACCTGTTTACATGAACACCTGTTGACATGTTCACCTGTTAACATGATCACCTGTTTACATGATCACGTTTACATGAACACCTGTTTACATGTTCACCTGTTTACATGCTCACCTGTTTACACGCTCACCTGTTTACATGTTCACCTGTTTACATGTTCACCTGTTTACATGAACACCTGTTTACATGTTCACCTGTTTCCATGTTCACCTGTTTCCATGAACACCTGTTTCCATGAACACCTGTTTACATGAACACCTGTTTACATGAACACCTGTTTACATGCTCACCTGTTTACATGTTCACCTGTTTACATGAACACCATGAATTTCATCAAATATAAAAACAGCCGTTAAACGTTTACTTCATTCTCATGTCATGACGTGTGACGTTTCTGTTGCTGAATGTACTTTTTTTTTTTTTTTATTGTTGCTATAGCAACAAACAAACCAGTGCAACCGAAGACTCCGGTGCTGACCGCTCTGATGTACTCACTGCTTCCCATCATGGCCCTCATCACCATCATCCTCTTCTCCTTCTGGATGTACCGACATCACAAACTGGCCTACCCACCTGTCCTGGTGCCGACACAGGTGAGACTCAAACACAGACACACACACACACACACACAGCTTTACACTTACATGTTATGGAACATGTTGCGCACCTGTGAGGGTGAATAATGATGAAGACGTGTGTGTGAACCCTTCTTACATGTGAGGGTGAATAATGATGAAGACGTGTGTGTGAACCTTTCTTACCTGTGAATGTGAATCATGAGGACACAGGTGTGTGAACCCTTTGTACCTGTGAGGGTGAATCATGATGAGGACACAGGTGTGTGAACCCTTTGTACCTGTGAGGGTGAATCATGATGAGGACACAGGTGTGTGAACCCTTCTTACCTGTGAATGTGAATCATGAGGACACAGGTGTGTGAACCCTTCGTACCTGTGAGGGTGAATCATGATGAGGACACAGGTGTGTGAACCCTTCTTACCTGTGAATGTGAATCATGAGGACACAGGTGTGTGAACCCTTCTTACCTGTGAGGGTGATATTCCTGAAACCGGTGTACTACTCACTGTTATTTCACCTGTAGCCCAAATATCAAATACCTGTCTAAGCCCATCTAAATCTAAATATCTAAATGAGCATACATTTATATATTTTACCACATTATGCAACAACTGGCATATTAAGAACACCTTCTCAGCGCTCTGTCATCTCACCTGCTGTTATCAGGGTCGGGCAGAGCGACGTGCAGCGTGAGTGGTCGAGCGACTGAGAGAGAGAGAGGGAGCGGTGATATGAGCGGAGAGGAGCAGGGATTTTGACAATCCGACAGTTTGCTTATAGTTAACATCACATAAGGGGCTATATTTAACACTTTCGGGGTTAAAGGCAGCGACCTCCAGATCTGTTCGTTCAACTTTGTCTTCAGTCAGAACTGGCTCTCAGTTTTGAGGTCTAAGTTTCGATCTTCTGATAGCCCATTTTATTCTTTATTACACGTCCTCCTTCCAACGCCTTACGATTTCATGAGCTGCCATAAAACTTGAAACAGTCATACAGTTTGCTGTCGAAGTAATCCGTGGCTTAAAGTTTGCTTTCCTTCCTGCAGAAATCGCCCTTTTTCTCTTTCCAAGGCGGACCATCTTCATAAAAGGCATTGTGCTTGTTCTAGAAATGTCTCTAAACATTACTTTTCATTGATTCACATCTCTGGCAACTGATTACTCAAGCCTACAAAAAGCAAAATGCAGGAGGGAGGACAAACTGTGAGCCATTGCGCGTCTGCTCAGCCTGTATGTATGTGCACGCTCCCTCTGTGTCTCTTTCTCTCAGGCTGGAGGGGCGCAGCACGTTAAAAAATATCCCCGTAATATTATTTGGTCGCGGAGGGAAACTTAAATGATGGAACCTCAATATCGATAATTAATGGATATCAACATGATTAAAACTGGTTGCAAACGCAAATAGCGTTCCCGGAGGCAGAGAGAGACAGAGGCAGCCAGCTGAGAGTCTGTAATCATCATTTCAGGGAGAGTCAGGGAGAATTCAGCTGAACAGAGTGAAGCAGTAAACTTTACAAAATATTGCAATATGAGTTTTTACCAATATGGTGCAGCCCTACTGGTTATTATTACCTGTGGATGTTCTCCGTATGGCATGATGACCACTCTTGGTAGTCCACCTGTATTTCTCTCGTCCTGACTCTGTCTCTCTCTCAGCACGCCTTTCATATCATGGTTGAGGTAAGAAGATTAATCCGTGCCTTCATCACTGCTTTCTATTATTTTTCTCACTTTCAGGTTTGAGTTTGCATCTTTGTTGTCCTCCAGCCTGCCGCTTCTTCTCTCCAGCACTGTTTTTGTTTGTTTGTTGTTGTTGTTTACATGAATGCTGCTGATGTTGATGTGCACGGATCAATGGATGATCTGACTGATCATGATGTCCTGTAAAAACACTTTGTTCAGTATCCTGTCTCAACGTTATCAGCTATCACTATCCTGGGGGGTATTCCATCAACGTAGCTAAAGAAAGCTCACCTGAAAAAGTCAGACTGAAACTAGTAATAGCGCTGAAACTCGCCTGATGGAACGGTCTTTTGATAGTCCGTTTCTACATGTTGGACATTCTTTGACACACGGTTAAACTAAGCTCCACAGTTAGCCTGGTCCGGAGCAGACTGGTTTCCCAGCGCAAGTTACCATGGTAACTCAGCGAGGATTCATATTAGCTACGGTGATGGGACCAAACTCCCATTTAAAAGAGCCAGACTTCCTGCTTTTACCTGTGCTGTGTATACCTGTGATGTGTATACCTGTGCTGTGTTTACCTGTCCTGTGCTGTGTTTACCTGTGCTGTGTTTACCTGTCCTGTGTTTACCTGTCCTGTGCTGTGTTTACCTGTCCTGTGTTTACCTGTCCTGTGCTGTGTTTACCTGTCCTGTGCTGTTTACCTGTCCTGTGTTTACCTGTCCTGTGCTGTGTTTACCTGTCCTGTGCTGTGTTTACCTGTCCTGTGCTGTGTTTACCTGTCCTGTGCTGTGTTTACCTGTGCTGTGTTTACCTGTCCTGTGCTGTGTTTACCTGTCCTGTGCTGTGTTTACCTGTCCTGTGTTTATCTGTCCTGTGCTGTGTATACCTGTGCTGTGTGTGTTTACCTGTGCTGTGTTTACCTGTCCTGTGTTTATCTGCCCTGTGCTGTGTTTACCTGTGTGTGTTTACATGGGCTGTGTTTACCTGTGCTCAACAGCAGGTGTCACTGTTTGAGATGACAAAATGAGCGTCTCTCACCAGACATTTTAAATACATGACAAACACATTTTTTATCATAAACTCTCTGAAGCTCAGGCCCTGTTGGGGGGTGTCCCTCCCTCTGTGTTCTCTCCTGCAGGACCCTGGCCCCCTCCCCCCCTCCCCCATACTGGGACAGAAGCCGCTGCAGTTACTGGAGATCAAAGCCAGGGGGCGCTTCGGCTGCGTCTGGAAGGCTCAGCTGCTCACTGAATATGTTGCCGTAAAAATCTTTTCCATCCAGGTTTGTCTGAGCTGCCCTGAACGCACCACAGCCCTCACACATCAGCTGTCATGACCTCAATGTTTTTAATGACCATACACAGGTGAGACTATTCACAGGTGAGATTATTCACAGGTGAGACGATTCACAGGTGAGACTATGTACAGTTGAGACAATTCAAAGGTCAGACTATTCACAGGTGATCCTAAGGGTTAGAATTTTCACAGGTGAGATTATGTACAGGTGATGAGACGCATGCACACTACGCTAGCTGGGAAGATCAAACCACAATTTTGAAGCACTTTTCTAAAGCCTGAGACAAATTTACATTTCCTGAAACAAAATGACAAAACTTTAACATTTTAGAAAACAAATGCCAAACACTAACAAGGGCTGAGACACAACTTTTACCAGTCCCCAAAGAATAGTAGAAACCACATAACACATTTCTTTTGTAAATGTATTTCAGTTTTGGATAAATAGTTTTTCATCTCATCTGGTCTATTTGTTTTCTAAAATATTAATGTGTGTATGTGTGTGTGTGTGTGTGTGTGTGTGTTCAGGATAAGCAGTCGTGGCAGAACGAGTATGACATGCTTAATGTGAACGGGATGCGACACGAGAACCTGCTGCAGTTTATCGGAGCCGAGAAGCGAGGAAATCACCTGGACATGGAGCTGTGGCTCGTCACCGCCTACCATGAGAAGGTAGGGCCCCCTGCTGGACATCAAAGGAACTGACAATAATATATAAATATATGTTTAAATCCCCACAAACTCAAAGAGTTATAAAGGATGCTGCAATTATTGAACAGTTTGATAATACTGAAATAATTGCATTATTCAAACAAAAAAATATATAATTATATCACTGTGCGCGTGTGTTCAGGGCTCTCTCACAGACTACCTGAAGGCCAACGTGCTCTCCTGGTCTGAGCTTTGTCTCATCGCTCAGTCGATGTCTCGAGGTCTCGCATACCTGCACGAAGACATACCTGGACACAAGGACGGACACAAACCTGCCATTGCACACAGGTACAGACATGCACACACACACACAGGTGTACTTGTTCGGATCCTCTGTGTCTGAAGGGAAGTATTTTTTTTTTTTTCCAGGGACTTTAAGAGTAAGAACGTTCTACTGAAGTCTGATCTGACCGCCTGCATCGCAGACTTCGGCCTCGCTCTCTGCTTTGAGGCGGGGAAATCTGCAGGAGACACACACGGACAGGTGAGTCAGCCTGAGAGAGCACACCTGGACAAGCTCCAGGTGATGATGGAACAGTTCATGATCAGAACTCCCCCTGGTTGCTGGTGGATGAAGTGCAGCTCTGACTTGATCATTCATTCCACTCCTGGTAGTTTCCAACCTGAGTCTCTAGGTCCCTTACAGGGCGCACAGAGGACCTCAAAGAGGACAGAGGACAGTCTTTTCAGGGTGAACTGTAAACCACTCGATCTGAGACTGAAACTTTACATTACACACACACACAGAAACTCCACACTACAGACTTTGTTCTTTCAGAGGTCCAGAGGTGTAAAACAGCTGTTTCCCTGTTTTCTCTGTCGGTGTGTCCTTTCACACCATGAACATCACCTGCTTACACACTTTTGTGATAATAAACCTGAGCTCGCTGAGGCAGAGACACACCTGTCCATACTCTGACAACACCTGTGTGTCCTTGTATGTGTCAGGTGGGGACCAGGAGGTACATGGCCCCTGAGGTTCTGGAGGGGGCCATCAACTTCCAGAGGGACTCCTTCCTAAGGATCGACATGTACGCTCTGGGCCTCGTGCTGTGGGAGCTCGCCTCCCGCTGCAAGGCTGCTGACGGTGAGTTACTCACAAGCCCCTCCCTCTCATAAAGCCCCCTCACACCACAGACCCCTCCCTCACTTTAGGTGTCCATGGAGTTGAATGAAGCTCTCGATTAAATCTGAGACCCGTCTTGGGGCCTCATTTAAGCGCAGCTCTTTGCGTGGGAATGTTCTTATGCACTCATTATGCACAGAGTGGAATTTAACACCTTGCACTTTCATCTAGGAATGCGAGTAAATATAAGCCCAGCTCCGACCACGCTTACAGCTCCGACCATGCGTGCAGATCTGACCACGATTACAGCTCTGACCACGCTTACAGCTTACAGCTTACAGATCTGACAACGCTTAAATCGCCGACCACGCTTTCATGTTCGGGTGCTTTTGTCTGGTTTGAAACAGAAGCGTTGTCTAACTGGTCTCAAAACCTTAAAGGTCCCATATTATGCCTTTTCTGGTTTTATATGCCCTTTAGTGTGTTTTCCAAGTCTCCTGTGCATGTTTAGGCACATCTATGTGCAAAGATTCAAAGTCCGCGGAAACGCGGCTTCTCCTACCTCCTCCTGTTAGCTGTAGCATTAGCCGCATGTAACGCTCGGTTCCAGCCCCCCTCGATAAAAATGTGTCAGTCCGACGTCATTGTCAGTGATCACGTCATTGTCAGTGATCACTGATCATTGTCAGTGATCACTGATCTAAGCCCATTGGCTCGTTGTGGCAAGCCCAGCAGCTCATGTTGCACGCCCGTTAACTTCTGTAGCACGCCCACGATATGCCGTAGCCTGCGGTAGCACAGTAGTGCTAAGGTGCTAATGTTTATGCTCCCCTCGGACGGAGCCAGTGGCTGCATTCCCAATATGGTAAAAGAGGCGGGACATTTCCGAGAACCATGCTGAGCAACTGACCAATAACAACAGAGCGGATCTGCAGACCAATCAGAGCAGACTTGGCCCACGTGGGGTCTAACAGTGGGGGCTCAGCAGAGCGTAGCTGACGGACTCAGAGCGGAGAGGGAGCAAGGAGGAGCAGTTCATGAAAACAGATACTTTTTTCGGACTTTAGCTATTGTGAACGTACAAAAGTAGGTACATAGATTAAATATATGAACCCCAAAAAGGGCATAATATGGGCTCTTTAAAGATTAGAGAGGCTGCTTTCAGTAAATACATGTTAAACATTCATGCGCACAGGTATATCACTGCAGAAAATACTGAGACAAATTAAAACAGAAAAACTAAAAACAGTTTCTTTAAAAGGACAGAAAAACCTCCAGAGATACTAAATACAACTTTTAGCCTCTGAAATATGAAATATTTAAGAATACAGAACATCAACATTATCATAACTAATCGGTATGTCCGGAGATTTAAATCATCAATAATAAGCTGATGTGCCACATGCATAGTCACGTACAGCAGACGCTCTCAGGACAGACTACATGGGACATAATAACGAATAAAGAAATCTGGGGGCTGTAAGACGGAGTCAGGACCTTCTTGTATGTAAGTGTTAAATTCTTATGTTTGAAAAGTATTCCATTCAGATGAGAAATACACATTACACAGTGTCTGGTCAAACACCTTGGTCAAACCAGGACGTTTCAGGTTTCTCTTCTTTTTTAAAGTCTCCTTAATGGCAAGCACGGAGCCCGTTAGTGCAGCTGAAGTTATCCGACACAGATGCAGGCTCGCCTGTACCACTTGGGCCTGATATCGAAGCTGAACCAATGAAAGAAGCCATATCTCCATGCTGTCAACTCTGGGGGCGAGGACAGCTGAACTGTGAATATAAAGGGCCGTGGTATTTAAATGATGATCGTTTCTAGCCGCCACACTTATCACCATCCGGTCATGAGAACGCTGTGATCAGCCAGAGACACATGTTTCATAGGTCCCATGTGGATCCTGTCGTACGATGGTTTCTACACCAGATTGATGCGTGAGGGCCGTTGTCTTTATTCCGGCGAGGTAAATATATTCTGGTGGTTTTTAAAGAGGTGTGTTGTTACCATATATGGTTAATTGGGTTTTCAGAATGCAAATGTCTCCAACATGCGCGAGCCTGCTGCTTAAGAACATGTGGGATTCATCAACACTGATTACCTCCCGACGTGCGTACGATCGCCGTCCGCATGTTTGATAAATACAGATTTTTTTTGTACTTCAGCACATTCTAAATTTAAACCGCAAGAATGTAGAACACTTTCTACGCACTGTTGATAAATGAGGCCCCTGGACTCTGAGTTCTGATCTCCCTACAAATCTGTCTTTTTGTCAGAATTTAAATATACAAAGGTCATATTTTTGTCTCACACAGTTCTCAAACCCCCTCCCCCCCCACAGGTCCTGTGGACGAGTACATGCTGCCGTTTGAGGAAGAGGTGGGTCAGCATCCGTCTCTGGAGGACATGCAGGAAGTGGTCGTCCATAAGAAGCTGAGGCCCACACTGAGAGAGTGCTGGCAGAAACACTCTGTGAGTCACACTACATTATCCACAATACACTGCTCACACTCAAGCCATACCAGACTGTTCACCCATGAATCTAGGGTCAGAGCTGCCCCTAGTACTGAAGAGCAGCAATTATAACAGCAAAAAGGCCGGTCCTCACACAGCATGTACATTTTTACCGTCCCCGCATGCTTAAACAAGAACATGTGTGTGGTATAGTTCAGTATTGGAGCTCCCCCTGGGTGCTGGTAGATTAACTGCAGCTCTGTTTGGCACCCCCTGCAGGGTCTGGTGGTCCTTTGTGAGACCATCGAGGAGTGCTGGGATCACGAGGCCGAGGCTCGGCTGTCTGCCGGCTGTGTGGAGGAGCGCATCGTTCAGATGCAGCGGCAAAGTAGCATCACGGCGCCTGAGGAGATCGTCACAGTTGTTACCATGGTAACCAATGTGGACTACCCACCTAAAGAGTCGAGTTTATGACAAAGCAGAGGACCAATCAGGACGGAGTATGGACTCCCACAGTGAGCTTTCCGTCTTTGAACACAAACAGAGGGTGGGGGCTGGTCAGGTGACCCACCAGGTGATCAGATGACTCACCAGGTGACCCACCAGGTGATCTGTTGACCCACCAGGTGAGCTGGAGGACAGCATGTTGCCTTTATCTCTCTCTGCTACACTGGCGTCCATCCTCTGACATCAGTTCCTGTTTTGTATAACAAAATAAAATACTTCCTTTTAGAGTTTTTCTACACAATTTGACAGGAAACAGTTTAATGTTTTCAGAATAAAAGGGTGACTGTGTTTAGTTTGATGACGATAAGAAACAGCTTGAATGTCTGAATCACTGCTGTTTATTGAAACAGATTATTTTACTTTGATGATCTTCATCAACATCACAAACACTAAATATTTTTAAATCATTGAAACATTTCCACTTTCATCTTTTTATCGTAAAACACCAGAAAACACACAAAGTGACACATTTGATTGACTTTAAATAAAATCTGAAGCTAGCTTAGTTTCAAAGACTGTTTAAAAGATTCAAGGTTACCGTAAAGTCTGGTATTTAAGACTCAGTCTGTGTTTGGGGTCTCTCAGAGATCAAAAGGTTTAAAGTCTCTTCTTGTGTGATGATCTCGTGTTCATCAGCGGTCAGTTAGTGTGCAGCTGTGTAGCTCTTGTAGTACCATCAGTGTCCACCAGGTGCAGTTTGTAATCCTGCAGGCTACCTGTACAGTAGTCGAGCTACCAGCTTAAGCTAACGTTGACAGTTGTGAAGTACAGCCCGACAGCCTGAGGGTCGCCCTGCCCACCTCCTCTGCTCACTCGTTTTTAACTGAGGAGCGACTCCACAAGCTTTATGTACTGACCAGTATACCACTGTCTGATATAAACGCACCATGATGACCTCATGACGGAGGAAAGATGGAAAACTCTGTCAGCATGGTCTGTGTCGTTATGTTTCCCAGCATGCTTTGAGCAGCGAAGCAGCCACATATAATACCCACTGAATGGGGCGTATATTCAATCCTGTCAGGTGGTGTTCAGATGGTGATGGACGCGGCATGGTAAAATGCTATAGCTGGTCCCACTGGTTAATAGGATGCAGGTCCTCTTACCCCCAATTCACACATACTCTGTGCGCGCTGCGGTCTGTCAGCGCCTCGGTTTTGCTCCGTCGGAAGGCTCACGCTCATTCACACTGGATCCAATTCGGGGACGTCAGCGCAGCGGAGCGCACCCATGACACATCACAGGAGAACTACAAGATCCCGCGGAAATTAAGAGAAAAACATGCAAACAACATGTTGCTTTGTCTTTCTGAGGATGCATTGTTGTTCATTCGGTGCCTGTTTTGACGTAATGTTGATAAAGTGATGGAAAATACGATCGCGAGTCCGTATATTGTGTTTTATTTTGAAATTGACCGGATGCTCTGTGCATTTCCTTGTCTGACTTCCTGTCCGGGCTGTCATATTCTGTCCAGCCTGCAGCATACTCCGGCGAAAATAGACTCGCTGTGTATTTGAAACGGAGCAGAGACGTAGTGCTGTTGGTGGCTCACGCCGGAGACGGACCGCAGCACGCTGTGTGAACATAATGATTGACTAGAGTGGCAGCTAAGTACGGCGTAGTGCGTGGCGCTGACGGACCGCGGCGTGCTCGGAGTATGTGTGAATTGGGGGTTATACACCAGATTTTAAGGAAACTTCTCAAAATCTGCTTTATCTTGAACACACCAAAACGCTCTACGAATGATCTAAAAATCTGGTGTTTTAATTTATTTAAATTAAAGACGATCAGTCGTGGTTTTAATCATGACACAATCATTAAAGCCAATCAGCTGCTGCGTGGACTGATCAGGGAAAAACATTGTGTTTTTATAGAGAAATGCGTCTTAGAGTTCATCGAACAGGTGAGAATGACAGGTGTGTTGGACAGATGTGTTAGACAAGTGTGTTAGACAGGTGTGAGTGACAGGTGTGAGTAACAGGTTTGAGTGACAGGTGTGTTGAAGAGTTTTTCTGTTTCCTAACGTGTTGTGAGACGGCGAGCTGATCACTGAATATTTAAAGTTAAATTTAAAATAAAAAATATATTTAAATAAAATAATAATGATAAAATATTGCTCAGATTTTATATAAAAGACGCCTAATTATTAAAAAAGTTTATCAACAAACTTTAGAGTTTAATAAAACTATTAATGAAACTTCTCTGATGGATTAATGTAGGAGACGACTCAAACTGAAATGTATTAATTTAAACTTCCTATAGAGAGGTGTTCAGGGACTTGCAGGAAATCACAGCGCCGTCAGTGTGTGTGTTTTTCTCACAGAAGAAGCTGTTTATTTCATGTTCGTGTGTGTGCTGTGTTCAGGGGCAGCTTGTAAATATGATCGTTCAGATTTCAGCACAAGTTTGTTTTTCTGAAAAATAAGAAAATCATTTATATGTTTAAAAAACTTTCTGAGTTCAGTCTTTTGTTGAAAAACAAACAACACTGACTTCCTGTGGATTGTGTGTGTGTTTGAGATATGTGGCACGTCCCTGCTGGTGCTGTTTTTTTTCATTATGACATCATTATGACATCATCATTCCCGATCAGGGACACAAGAGGAAGTGTGTCAGCTTCCAATGTGTGTTTTTTTTTAAATTAAGCGGATTCAAATATAATAAATGAGTTTTATTATTGTTATGACAGAATGAATCACTGCAGCAGAGGTTTTGGTGTTCACAGATGTTTAAAGGACTCGGCTCACTCTTATGTTCTAGATTTCTTATTAAATTGTTTTGAAATGTTTTAATTTATTGAAAGTAAATATTTTTTGAGCATTGTCGCAGTGCGTTCACTGTCTGTGGTTTTATTCACAGTTTGAGGGCTTCTGTTGGAGGTGATGTTGAATATTGTACAGAATAAATAAAGTGACTCAGTGACTGCTCTTCTTCTCGGGTTTCCTTCATGTTCATGACTCATCATAGATCATCATGACTCATCATAAATCGTTAAATATTTTCATCGTCAGCAGACTCCAGATTTGTCAGGCGTCGTCCAGCAGATGGTTTTATGAATATTGTCTTCTGATATTTTTCTTAATTTCGTTGATTGGTCTCTTTGTAAAAAAAGTCTTCCATTTCAAAATGTGAAGAAAAATATGAAAACTTTAAGCATCATATGAAGAGAATCGACATCAGAGATGAGAACAACTTCCATCTGACGTGTTTGATATTGATATTAAAATACAGAAACCATAAAGAGGTATAAACGGGGGGGGGGGATAATGAAGCAAGAAGGCAGACTGATTCTGTGTTGAAGGCCCAATCAGTGGACTTTTATTTACAGGTGTAACGAGAATCTGAAGATCAACTCAATGAGCAGGTACATTCTGCAAGATGCAAATGTTGTCGGGGAGAGAGCAAGAGCAGGTGAGTATGTGTGTTCGTGAAGCAGCGCAACAAAGGAGAGCATGGGTTGATGTGTTATGACACCTCAGTTTTCTTTAATGTTATATAGGCTACTGAGGTAATTTGAGATTTAACGACGTGTCAGAGAATGTAAGGTCATGAAAGTTTGCCATAACATAACATTCATCAAATGTGTATAAACCCTTATAACTGATGGTTCTCTGTTTTACATGTCAGTGAAGTCGTCTCCGAAGTCGATCATCTGTCTCAGAGTGCTCAGGATCAGAGCGTCCACGTTGTCATTCAGCTCGATCTCTTCGCTGTAGTTCTTCACAGGAAAGATGCAGTTCAGCGGGAGTCCCACGGCTGTACTGAAGTCTTTCATCTGAGGGTTCAAGAGAACACACATCAGCTGAAACTATCAGACAGGATCCCATAGGATATGACATCATTTCTCAGTCTCACCTTCATCTTCAGGTGTTTGCTCTTGTACACGTTCTTCAGGTCCTTTTCCGTCTCCTCACACGCCTGATCGATATTCGTGATGATCCCTATCTGAGGAATCCCTTCAAACAAACAGTCCGACAATGTTCATGCAGGGACAGAGATGTTAGCTGATGCTAAGCTAACACGATCAGGCTAATGGAGATATCATGAGGTAATGATTAAGACCCTTGTTCAATAAAACACCAAATGCTGACTGAAACACACAGAGGTCCCTGAATGCAACATAGATCACCACTGTCAGTTTAATTGATTGATTGGTTGGTTTGTTGATTGATTGTTTGTTGGTGGATTTATTGATTTATTGATTGTTGGTTGGTTGGTTGATTGATCTTACCAAGGTTGCTGGCTGCCTCTCTGGTGTTGGCCATTTTCTGTAGAATTGATTCCTTCACTTCTGCGTACGCGGCGGAGAGCACACAAACGAGAACATGGACTCTGTCATCCAGAGAGGGGGCGGAGTTGTAGTATGGATCGTCATTGGACAGTGAAGACACCGGATTGAACTGCAACCAAAAAACGTGCGACTTTAGGAATAATAAACAAAGCAACAAACTCCTGAGTCAGCAGTCAGATCATCACTGATTATTATTGGGGAAGACTTTATAGACTTAAATGCTTTCAGGTCACTGGAGACTGGAACCAGACTGAAACTAGACCCTGGTCTACCCTAAAACAGGGTCTTGAAGAGTCCTAACAGGAAATTGTGACGACCTAAACAACATCAACTGTTCCGATATGGTTTTTATTCTATTTTAAAATATTTGTGATACATGTCAGGACCAGCGTACTTTGTATCCCTCCTTCACGTGTCCTTTCAGGGCCAGATTGAGGTCTTCAGCTCGGACTCCCTCGCCCTCACCTTCCTCTAGACCCATGATATCATTGAAGACAAACGGACAGAACGTTCTGGGGTTTCCTTGTCCCCTTCTGATTTTGTGAGTCTGAAACTGAAACACAAAAGAAGATGAGCTGCTTGTTTGAATGACCAACAAGTTTCCTCTGAGCCAAGCTTCATCCCACTGAATCCTGGATCAGACTAGGGATCAGATAGTGGATCAGATTATGGACCAGACTAGGGATCAGATAGTGGATTAGACTGGGGATCAGAGAGATGATCAGACTGTGGAGCAGATAGTGGATCAGACTAGGGATCAGATTTGCCTTACCTGTTTGGTGAAACTGTGTCCTGATTGGACCGAACTACTGGCTAATGCTGGACAGGTCATCCTGCGTCGCATCACGTTGCTCACAGAGTTGATGAAACTGGACTTCCCGGCCCCGATGGGTCCGTACAGAAGGATCCGGAGATGACTGATGTCTTTGTTCTCCGGTTGAAAGTTCTGAACGTACTGCAGACTGCTCGCAGTGTCTCTGTTTTCACAAATCATTTAGGAAGGAATTAACATTTCTGATAATAAAATGAATGACGTTACTAAGAACATTAACCTCAGAGTTGTATCATTTAATAATCTGTTTTATTCCTTTCTAATTAAACTGAATGAATTTCCACTCCAATAGAACTCACCCCCAGGATATGTTCCTCCACGGCTCATCGAAAACTGAATAGAAGATTGATCATGATATTAAATGTATTCATATAAATATTGAATGTATTCATAAATCTCATTCTGTGTGATAGTGGTTGTTATTAAAGTCATCATCTTACTGGGAGATGTCTTTGGTGAGTCTTCTATAAAGAACACATTCAGAAAAGAAGCAGATTTAACAAACAGACTTTTACTTTGAAGAGGACAAGAAGGAAGTGTTTGTGCTTCTAACCTGGTTCGATGTGCCGATGAGGAAACAGCCACCTGACTGTAAACAGAGACAAACAACATCCTATTTAATGAAACGTCTGACACATCCAGTAGATAAATTAATGTTTCATAAAACAGGAAACAGGATGTTAACAATAAACACTGCAGGTATATGTCCTCAGCCCCTTCCTCTACTCCCTGTTGCTGGACCTGACGGCTGCTCCTGCACTTTCTCTCAGAGCTTCTTATTGTCTTTATAATGTGACGTGAATGTTTGGGTGCATCCGAATTGTCCCTCCTATCTCCTTTCACTATCCACTTTACCTTAACCCCGGAAACATTTAAGTGGCGGCCATGATAAGAGCCGTTCGAATTCTCTAAAAGTTAAGGAAAGGTGGGTCAATGCTTCCTTTATAACCTCCTTTAGCATAGGATACACTGGACCATCCTTTACGAAAGGAGATGAGATTTGACGCCCCACAATTCCTTGCGGCCGCAACATTGAAAGCGAGTCGCTCATCCGACCGTTCACGAACGTTAACGATGATCGTAAAGTGACACAGATCATGTAAGAGATAAAAGATAAGAGACATTTTTATCAGATGATGTTTTATTCAACATATTTCATTCTCTTAAGAATGCTGTGCAGTTATACATTTGTATGTTTAAAACATTATGTGCAGGTTATATCTTACATTAATGTAACATTTAATTTCATATTGATGTTGATGTTGATTTCTGATTGGACAGGAAGCTGGAGGTTTCACTTTTCTTACTTGTAGCCTGGTAGTATATTGCTCTTATTTCAATCCCAACCTTGTAGTAATTAGGATTATTTCACCGGTAAGAAGGCACAGGGGAAAGTTTTTTAGATGCGTTTTTTGTAGTCCATTTTCTGAACATTGTAGTTAACCCACGTCATTAACCTCCGCCGGCCCGTCGCATTGAGCAACGAGATCGCCTTTCCCTAAGTCCTTTATGAATTCTCCTAACATCTTTCCTTAACCTCATGACGTTTTCGCGGGGTTAAGGTGAAGTGGATAGTGAAAGGAGATAGGAGGGACAATTCGGATGCACCCTTTGTCTTTACATCATCATTTTGACTGTCTGTCTGTGCTGCTAAGACAATAAAGATATATTCTATTCTATTCTATAAACAACCTTCTCGTCTTTCATGAGCTCCTTCAATATCAAACATTGATTCATAACAAGCGCTCATTTTCAAAAATCACCTGAAAAAAAGGTTTAAGATGAAAAAAGAACTATTCTTACGTAGGCTCCCTCTGTATGGCGGTGTAGTCATCCTGAAGTCGATCTGAAACTAAAACACAGGACAAACTCTTTATATAGGCTAACACACAGACACACAGACACACACACCGTCCTGCACCAGTTTCTTGTGTCCCTTTCACTTTCACTTTCACTTTCACACAGTGTCTGTGTTTGTGTCTGTGTGTGTGTGTGTGTCTGTGTGTCTGTGTGTGTGTGTGTGTGTGTCTGTGTGTCTGTGTGTCTGTGTGTGTTGGGGAGGGTCATATAAAGAGTGTCAGGTCTACTTGCTTTAGTTTTCTGTAGGATGGCGGAGCAGCAGGAAGCTTCAGGTCAGTCTGATTCTCTTCATTCAGATATGTTTAGATTCATCAGCATGTTAGCATCACATGCTAACAATTAAAACACAGTCCTGTTTCATTGTTAAGTTTGTGTAAAACCAAATGTTCTGTGTTTTATGCTCTATTTTCTATGCTCTATCAGCGTAATTGTATTACATTTTATTTTCTATATAGCGACAGATCACAAATGGAGCGTAGCGTTAGTTCAGGCAGGCCACTGAGTCACACTCTACTATCATGCCAGCTGGTTTGCTTCAAATTGGCATATTGGCCAAATAGTACATACACCGCCCTATTTCAACTGCTATAGCCGGCCTACTTTTGCTGCTCCCTCTGCAACCTGCATTTGCAAGCGCATTTGCGTCCCTCCTCCTCCCAGCTCCTCCTTTTCTGCTGTTCTGACTTCATTAATGTTGTGCTTGTCATTGATGCTCTGTTGAAGTTTGCTGCATATCTCCCTGCCTTATAGCTTAAAATATCCTTCTTGACAAAGTGGTCCTGACTGAACAGAAGTCATTCAAGGATACCTTTCCTATAGAACAGGTTTATACCTTGTCCTTTTATTAAACAAACTAAAGTCTCTATGGTTGCGCCTTTACTATTCTCCTCTGCTATCTGTATCACGCATGCCCCGATGCACACGCGCGCGCGCGCGCACACACACACACACACACACACACACACACACACACACACACACACACACACACACACACACAGTCCACCAGTGGACAGAGAGCACATGTCGGAAAGTATGTCACGTCAACCACCTGAAACGCAGACAAAAATATCTATGTTCTATCTTCTAAGCTCTATGTTCTATGTTCAATGTTCTAAGCCCCTCCCTCCTGACTTACAGTTTATCTGTGATTTAGGTTCTTTAGTCAGAAACATTTGATTTATATCTTTGGGGCCTCACACCTGTCTCCTCAGGTACGGGCAGCTCTGTGGATCCAAGTGACAAGTCCACAGGGGAGCCGAAGACACCATCATCAGACCCACAGGTGAGTTTATACTTTGTGCAGTTCACAAAAGATACTCGGCCAATCAGATCATAGCTGTACAGACAGCCTGTGAGGCCAGGGACGGGTAGGTCTTCTAAATATGGTGAACCGGATTCTGCTGACACTAATGATAATTCTCTCCATGCTGCCTTAAATGAGACCCCTGGTGGACAGAGTTTTCACATCTACTAAATGTACTGCTGGATTGATCATTGCAGTCTGGTGTGCCTGCACTCACAGATGCGCCTGCAGCCACTATATAAGACCCCAACTCACAGTTGTGGATGTGTCAGGTCTCTGTCTATCCTGCCCTGCATTCCTGAGCATGTCAGACGTTGTTTATTTATCTTCTGTTTGCTGAACCTGTTAGCTTGAAGTATTACAAACCTTACCTGTGTCTTCATCCATTTCATTTGGGACTCTTAGGGGTCAGCCCGTTCTGAAGAACCTGACACGTTTTAATAACACTAAAACTTATTCATGTCACTGATGAAATATGAATTATTAATCACAATTATTATTGATTTCTGTATCTGAAGAGGGGCAGTGTTAGTCCCTCTGCCAGATGTTTGAGGCATCTTTGAATCAAATATTGAAATATAAGCTAAAAGAAGTCCAACACAGGGTCAAGTTAAAGTTACCATGGGGAGGTAAATACACCATATTCATCTATTATTATAATAATATGAATAACTCTTTGTGGTCCTCAGGTGAACTCTGACTCTCCTACCTTACAATGTCCACACTGTGGGGGTCCTGTGGACGATGCAGAGGAGATGACGGTGGACTACTACTGCCATGATCAAGACTTAACTCAGGTGAGGGGGATTTACCTCAAAGAGTGATTAGAGGGTAATCCTGGTGGGCTGGGTCTAAAGTCAACGTTTCAATTAATTTAATAAATAACCCTAGCCATCTCCCCAACCTGGCTGTGTCACCATGGTAACAGACTCTAAACTCCTCACCTCGTCTGTCTCAAGTAATGTTCACTTTTAAATCCTCTGTAAAGTGTTGTCAACATGCTAACAAAGATTACATATAACATGCTAACAACTTTTAAAGCTAACATGTTAACAAAGATTAAAGCTAACTTGCTAACAAAGATTAAAGCTAACTTGCTAACAAAGATGAAAACTAACATGCAAACATATTAGAGCTAACATGCTAACAAAGATTAAAACTAACATGCAAACATATTAGAGCTAACATGCTAACAAAGATTAAAATTAACATGTTAACAAAGATTAAAGCTAACTTGCTAACAAAGATTAAAGCTAACTTGCTAACAAAGATTAAAACTAACATGCAAACATATTAGAGCTAACATGCTAACAAAGATTAAAGCTAACATGCAAACAAAGATTAAAGCTAACATGCAAACAAAGATTCAAGCTAACTTGCTAACAAAGATTAAAGCTAACATGCAAACAAAGATTAAAGCTAACTTGCTAACAAAGATTAAAGCTAACTTGCTAACAAAGATTAAAGCAAACACGCAAACAAAGATTAAAGCTAACTTGCTAACAAAGATTAAAGCAAACACGCAAACAAAGATTAAAGCTAACTTGCATTAAAGATTAAAGCTAACATGCAAACAAAGATTAAAGCTAACATGCAAACAAAGATTAAAGCTAACTTGCATCAAAGATTAAAGCTAACTTGCTAACAAAGATTAAAGCTAACTTGCATCAAAGATTAAAGCTAACTTGCTAACAAAGATTAAAGCTAACTTGCATCAAAGATTAAAGCTAACATGCAAACAAAGATTAGACCTAACTTGCTAACAAAGATTAAAGCTAACATGCTAACAAAGATTAATGCTGCTTTCCATTTTCAGTAGCCTGAGTTCAGATCCAATATGGCTGCTATGCGTATCAACAGGTATGTTTAAGCTGTAACTGTTGAGTTTATTAGCAGCTTAGTCGTCTTATTGTGTCATTAAATCAATCACAGTGATGTTATCGTGCAAGTTCTCTCTGTGGAGGTGTTTTCATGAAACTATCAGGTAGTGTGTTGTTAACGTCTGGTATTAGCTTACAAAACAAAGGTACCCCTGGACGCGTCCATGTTGCTTTTCCGACTTGCAACTGGAACACAGTTTACTCGGGTGTGATGTCATTCCCAGTTCTGACTTCCGAGTTCGTGGCATAAAGCTAACATGCAAACAAAGATTATTAAAGCTAGCTTGCTTACAAAGATTTAAGCTTGTTAGCTAACAAAGATGTCTTTCCTGTTTGTTTCAGATGAAGGCGGTCCTGAAGGAGCTCAAAGGCGTGATGCCCATACCACAGTTTAACAGTAAACAACTTCCTTTTTTACAAGTACTCCTCCTGTTACTCCTCCTTTAATTACTCCTCCTGTAGTGACTCCTCCTTTAGTTACTCCTCCTGTAGTGACTCCTCCTTTAGTTACTCCTCCTGAATTTACTGCTCCTGTTACTCCTCCTTTAGTGACTCCTCCTTTAGTTACTCCTCCTGTAGTGACTCCAGTAATTACTCCTCCTGTAGTTACTCCTCCAGTAGTGACTCCTCCTGTTATGCCTCCTGTAGTTACTCCTCCTGTAGTGAATCCTCCTGTTACGCCTCTTGTAGTGACTCCTCCTGTTACTCCTCCTGTAATTACTCCTCCTATAATTACTCCTCCTGAAATTACTCCTCCTGTAGTGAATCCTCCTGTTACGCCTCTTGTAGTGACTCCTCCTGTTACTCCTCCTGTCATTACTTCTCCTATAATTACTCCTCCTGAAATTACTCCTCCTGTTGTGAATCCTCCTGTTACGCCTCTTGTAGTGACTCCTCCTATAATTACTCCTCCTGTAGTGACTCCTCCTGTAGTGACTCCCCCTGTAGTGACTCCCGCTGTAGTGACTCCTCCTGTTACTCCTCCTATAATTACCCCTCCTGAAATTACTCCTCCTGTAGTGACTCCTCCTGTAGTGACTCCTCCTATAATTACTTCTCCTGTATTGACTCCTCCTATAATTACTTCTCCTGTAGTGACTCCTCCTATATATAATTACTCCTCCTGTAGTGACTCCTCCTATAATTACTCCTCCTGTAGTGACTCCAGCTATAATTACTTCTCCTGTAGTGACCTCTTCTCCTGTCCTCTTGTTGCTTCTCCTCGTGGTGATATGAATGTCTGCGCTGTGTGTTGGTGCAGATGCTGAGCGTCTGGTGAAGAACTCCATCAACCAAACTCCAGCTGAGAAACAATCCCTGTTAGAGCTCCTCAAATATCTGAGAACTCTGCACCAGAAACCTGACAAAGGTAATGTTTACTTTTAATCTTCATGAGTCACATCACTCAATTGTGACTCAGCTGTCAGTCACATGACTCTGCTGTCAGTAACATGACTCTGCTGTCAGTAACATGACTCTGCTGTCAGTAACATGACTCTGCTGTCAGTAACATGACTCAGCTGTCAGTAACATGACTCAGCTGTCAGTAACATGACTCTGCTGTCAGTAACATGACTCTGCTGTCAGTAACATGACTCAGCTGTCAGTAACATGACTCAGCTGTCAGTCACATGACTCAGCTGTCAGTAACATGACTCTGCTGTCAGTAACATGACTCTGCTGTCAGTCACATGACTCTGCTGTCAGTCACATGACTCTGCATACAAATCAATCAAGAACTTATAAAAACCATAAACTCATACTCCAATGTCTCCGACTATACAATAAACTGGAATAAATCCACCACCTTAACAATAAATGGAGAAACCACTCACGCATTAAATTTTCCGCCAAGCTGTTAGAGGTGTTCCATCTAAATTTCACCCCACAATTGAAAACAATACAAGATGACTTAAAAGGATGGATGACAATCCCACTTTCAATTATAGGACACATTGCTACTATAAAAATGATGATACTACCAAAACTCAATTACTTATTTACAATGTTCCCAATCCAACCTACAGCAAAATGGTTTAAGACATTGGATTCAATAATAACAGCATTCTATTGGAAAAACAATAAATCCAGAATAAAACTAACTACATTACAACAATCAAAACTTCAAGGAGGCCTAGAAGCGCCAAACTTTCATCACTATTACCTAGCAAACCAGTTACAATACCTTATCAAATGGATCCACACAAACCATCACCCATGGCTGGACATAGAGCAAACCGAATGCAACAACATATCAATCAAAGACCTACCGTTTATCAGTGAAACAATCAAACATCACACCTGCTTCAAAAACACTGCAATCGCAATAACTCTGACAGCTTGGTGGAAGGTCAACAAAATTAAAAACACTGCATTCTCACCAACAACTCACACGCCCATATGGAACAATCCTGACTTTCAGGAAATAAATCCCCCCTCTCAGGCACTAAATGTAAAGAAAAAGGAATCCCACATCTCCAGCACATCTTTGACCAAAATGAACAATTTCTCCAATATATCCAACTACAACAGTCAATCAAGGCAAAAATAAAGATCACCAGCACTCACCTAATCCAACCATCACTACTGGACAGCATCAACAAAATAGCACAATCTAAAAAAACACTCTCAAAATTGTATAAGCTTATATCTTCTTCCGATGATGCACCTCATATAAAGCTTAACAAATGGGAAACAGACCTCGACATCCACACTGACAATCAATCTTGGAACAAAATCTGCAACAACATTTTCATCATGTCCAACAACACTAACACACAGCTAATACAAAATCATCCACAGAACACATCTCACGCAACACAAGGTGCACATCATGGGACTAGCTGAATCAGACATTTGCGCTCACTGCTCTAACACAGCCGAGGACCACCGCCACGCATTTTGGCTCTGTCCACCAATCAAGAAAGAAATCACCACCACACTATCCCGACTCTTTGGCTGAACATCCCTCTATCCCCCTCTGTTTGCATTCTTGGCAATCTAGATGAACTTAACACAAACTCAAAAGAAATCACAATACCCCTACTCTCACTATCGCCCCGAAAACAATACTGCTCAACTGGAAATGTAGGAAAAAGATCAGCACATTACAATGGTAAGACCTCCTTATGCAACAAATATCAATGGAACAACAATCAGCCACACACAAATACCAACTCCAAGAATCCAACAAAATATACTCCACAATTCTCACTACCAGTTTGATGCCGGAGAGTTAATGCCATCGCAGAAACAGGCAGGTAAACGAGGAGGAGAGAGGAAATTAGAATAACAACAATTTTCATATCATTAACAAACAACATGTACTTGGTAATCATCATCATGCACCCATACAAAGGAAAACAAACAAACAAATAACACCAAAAATCGCCACCTTGCGTACAACTTAACCAACCAGTTTTATTTCACATAATTGTGTTGCTACACTGTTCTCCTGTTTTTCTCTGTCCTGTATGCTTTTTTGTGTGTGTGTTTTGCTTTTTGTTTGTTTGCTTTCTTTGTTTTTGTTTTGGTCTGCTTGCAAAACTGTACCATACCACAGCTCCCCTCTTGTTTGTATGTGCTTGCCTCTTCTTTTTATGTATGTATGCACTTAAAAAAAAAAAAGGAAACTGCATATGTCACCCCTATTTTAGTATGTTGCTAACGGCATGCTAAGGGACGAGTGATATGCAGTATGTATATTTTGAGTATGCAGTAGGCAGTATGTTGTATTTGATTTGGGACACAGTCGAGGTTAACAGGAAGTGGCAGGGCAGCCAATACGGCACTGAGCTGAATCATCATCATTAACCTTCTTCTATTGAGAAAACATGAAGTATTTCTGTTGATGAACTCGACTTCCTGGATTGTCATAGTTTAAATGTTTGTTCCCTCAGAGAGGCAGACCGCCTCCTCTACGTCATCCAGTTGGTACCCTTGCAGAGTGAAGGTGTTCTCCGTGGTGGCTGGGCGGACCTGTGGGGCTGATCATGTCATACTGGAACAGGTGAAGAAAGGATGGCATTTAACAAATGTGGAGACAGCCTCAGACCAACAGGACTGTGACATCATCATCCTGTTCTGTCCAATCACGTCTCGTGTTGCAACAGATGTTGACGCCGCCATGAGAAAGACTTCAGGTAAACCTCAGATGACTTGAACAGCCTGTACGGAGAACATTTAGGGGGGCGGGGCTTCATGAGTGTATAGTAGACTTGAGTGAACCTGATATCCTGTGACGTGTTGGCTGATGGTCGTCCTCTGTGTCTCCTGTTTGTCTCTTTACTGCTGTCTTCAGGGGACAAACCCGTTGTCCTGGTGGTGATGCATCACACACGAGACGCGGACTACTCTGTGGACAAGAAAAAATGGAGCGACACATTTAAGAACGTTGTCCTTGATGTTCACGTTCTCTTCCATGAGACCCTGCAGGGATTACTGAAGTGTTCCAGGAACGACGACGCCGTCCATCAGATACAGAAAGAGTTAAAGAAACACAGTAAACATAGATTTCCTTACAAGATTTACTCTCAATGAAACCATGATGACATTACTGTTGCTGTAAAAATGAGGTTCAAAATAATAAAAGACCTGAAACTGAACTTTTGTTTCTGCTGTTTTTCTCAAACTTATTTTCTAAAACGTCTCTGTGTCAAAACAATGACGCTCGAACATGTGTCCACCAGCTCGGTATAGATTACATACAGGTGTAGTAAGATGATGACACACCTCCCACTGTAATACACCTGACCATGTTAACACCTCCCACTTTAATACACCTGACCATGTTAACACCTCCCACTTTAATACACCTGACCATGTTAACACCTCCCACTTCAATACACCTGACCACCTGGTGGAAGTGATGTCATAGATGATGTCACCAGGTGTAGTGTATCTGTGTTTTTTCTGGCAGAGACCCCAATGAGCCGGATCGACTCCTCAGAGGACTGACACAGAACCATGTTCATGGAGTTCACATAGCACCTGCTCCTCCTTCTCCTCCTCTTCATCCTACTCCTCCTCCTCCTCCTCCCCCTTCTCCTTCTCCTCCTCCTCTTCATCCTACTCCTCTTCCTCTTCCTCTTCATCCTCTTCCTCCTCCTCCCCCTCCTCCTCCTCCTATTGCTCTTCCATCATGAGACCGGTAACACACACGCACTGATGGAGAGATGTCAGAGCAGTCTCTGTCCAGCAGGGGGCGCCTCCACTGATCACACAAACCGGACCTGTAGCAGGAAACAATGAGCTCCTCCTTTGATGGGAGTCCCGGGCTGTTTCGTGTATTGGGATACATCTTTTAATGTTATTCAGTTATTATTATATAAATATCAATAAACTGATCTGTAATCTGTGATCAGCTGATCTCTACGCAAGCTAGAGGACTCCATGTCCCAGAGATCTCTGCGGCTCGGTGGTCCAGGGTGGACCCCAGAGGTGGGCGTGTTTAGTTCGCAGCATCCTGATCGATTCACGGGACTCTGCCGGTTTTCTATCCGCTGGAGGAGCTCTGTTTCTCCCGTTAACCGCTCCGTACTGTTTGTTTGTCTTCGGTTCTTGTCTCCGTGATTACCGGACAGGTGCGGCGATGGTGGACGCAGCGGAGTGCGGGGTGTGCGGGGTTAAGGTGATGTGTCGCTTCAGGCCGCTGAACGACGCGGAGCGGAGCCGCGGAGACAAAAACATCCCGAAATTTAACGGCGAGGACACGGTGGTGGTGGCGGTGAGTGAGCACTGAGAGCTGGAGGGTGTTTACCGGCACACCGGCACACCCTCCATCCGTGTGCAGGCAGCACACACAGCACACACAAAAACAACAACAACACACACACACACACACACACACACACACACACACACACACACACACACACACACAAAAACACACACACACACACACAGACACACACACACACACACACACACACACACACACACAGACAACGCACACAACAAGAGACGATAATGAGATGATGAGTCAGATCTGATGAGGGCTGACAGCCCCCCCCCTCCCCCCCTTGTAAGGAGACGTTCATGTTTGATTTTAATGGATTCATTACGTTTATTTTAAAAACTGTATTTTCAGGAAAACTCAGAGATCCGAGATCATGATTCAGTAAAAATGACCAAGACTCAACCTCGGTCCTCATTTGGTCACTCTTTGTGTGTGAGTGTGAGTGTGTGTGTCTGCTTTTGTCTGTGTGTGTGTGTGTGTGTGTGTGTGTGTGTGTGTGTGTGTGTGTGTGTGTGTGTGTGTGTGTGTGTGTGTGTGTGTGTGTGTGTGTGTGTGTGTGTGTGTGTGTGTGTGTGTGTACTTGTGTCTCTGTGTGTGTGTGTGCTTTTGTCTGTGTGTGGGTGTGTATATGTGTGGGCTTGTGTGTGTGGGTTTGTTCTCTGATGTTTTTTATATAGTTGCCATGACGACAGACATCTTATGAACCATCAGCTGTATGTTTGTTTGTTGATCATCAATACTCTCATGATTAAAGTGACTTTAAGGCTTTTATTTTGACGGTGTGTTTTAGGGGAAACCGTACGTTTTTGACCGAGTTCTCGCTCCGAACAGCGAACAGGTTCAGGTGTACGACACCTGCGCCCGGCAGATCGTTAGAGGTGAGTCAATAAAGGTCACGTTAAATACACGTTTAAAAAGTGTAAAGAATCATTAAAAACAAACAAAACAACATTATCTCTGATGTGTGTGTGTATCTCTGATGTGTGTGTTGTGTGTGTATCTCTAATGTGTGTCTATCTCTGATGTGTGTGTGTGTGTGTGTATCTCTGATGTGTGTGTTGTGTGTGTGTATCTCTAATGTGTGTCTATCTCTGATGTGTGTGTGTGTGTGTGTATCTCTGATGTGTGTGTGTGTGTGTGTATCTCTGATGTGTGTCTATCTCTGATGTGTGTGTGTGTGTGTATCTCTGATGTGTGTCTATCTCTGATGTGTGTGTGTGTGTGTATCTATCTCTGATGTGTGTGTGTGTGTGTGTGTGTGTGTGTGTATCTCTGATGTGTGTCTATCTCTGATGTGTGTGTGTGTATCTCTGATGTGTGTCTATCTCTGATGTCTGTGTGTTGTGTGTGTGTATCTCTGATGTGTGTGTGTGTGTATCTCTGATGTGTGTGTGTGTGTATCTCTGATGTGTGTGTGTGTGTGTGTGTGTGTGTGTGTGTGTGTGTGTATCTCTGTTGTGTGTATCTCTGATATGTGTTTGTTGTGTGTGTTTTTCAGATGTGTTGGGGGGTTATAACGGGACCATCTTTGCGTATGGTCAAACGTCTTCTGGAAAAACCCACACTATGGAGGTCAGTCTAATCCACCCACTTTTACTAGACCCTAGCCAGACTCTACCAGGACCCTACCCGGACCCTACCCGGACCCTACCCAGACTCTACCCAGACCCTACCCAGACTCTACCCAGACCCTACCCAGACTCTACCCAGACTCTACCCGGACCCTACCCAGACCCCACCCGGATCCTACCCAGACTCTACCCAGACTCTACCCAGACCCTACCCGGACCCTACCCAGACCCTACCCAGACTCTACCCAGACTCTACCCAGGTAGAGGACCCTACCCAGGTAGAGGACCCTACCCAGACTCTACCCAGACCCTACCCAGACCCTACCCGGACTCTACCTGGACCCTACCCAGACTCTACCTAGACTCTACCCGGACCCTACTCAGACTCTACCCAGACTCTACCCAGACCCTACCCAGACTCTACCCAGACTCTACCCAGACTCTACCCAGACCCTACCCGGACCCTACCCAGACTCTACCCGGACCCTACCCGGACTCTACCTGGACTCAACCAAACTCTAACCAGATCTTTTTCATTTTTAGTGTTTCTATTGTGTTTCATGTTTTTTGTTTTCAGGGTTTAATCATTTTTGTCACAAGTATTTTGTCAATTTTTATTTTTTCAGGGAAGCCTGCACGATCCCCGTCTGATGGGAATCATTCCTCGTATCTCCAGAGACATCTTTGACCACATTTACTCCATGGATGAGAACCTGGAGTTTCACATTAAGGTGAAGATGTCATCTGTTCAGACAGAAGAGACAGGAAATCCCTGATCAACATAATGTGTTTTTTCATCCATTCATCCATTTCCTTCCGATTGTCCGAGGTCGGGTCATCGTGGCAATGAAGTTATCCCAGACTTCTCTCTTCCCAGCAATGTTTTCCAGCTCCTCCTGGGGGATTCTGAGGCGTTCCCAGGTCAGATGGGATAGATAATCCCTCCAGCTAACTCTGAGAGGTCTTTTCCCAGTTGAACATGCCCAGAAAACCTCCAAAGGGTGGCATCCATGAGGATCCTAATCAGATGCTGAACCACCTCAGCTGGCTCCTTTCGATGTGAAGGAGTAGCAGCTCTACTCCGAGCTCCCCCTGAAAGTCTGAGCTCCTCCCCCTCTCCCAAAGGCTGAGCCCAGACACCTTCCAGAGAAAAGTCATTTCAGACGCTTGTGTCCGCGATCATATTCTTTCGGTCACTACCCAAATCTCATGACCACTGGTGAGGGTTGGTGCAAGGATCTACCAGGTTCAGCTTCCTCTTCACCATACTGGTTTGGCACAATGCCTGCATTACTGCTGACACTGAGCCAGTCTGCCTGTCAAACCCACAGATCGTCTTAGACTTGCAGGGCTTCTTTGGGGGGACATGGAAGTATGCTCATAAAGTCTATTTGTGTTTTGTGGACTTGGAGAAGGCCCCAGTCTGTGTCCTTCAGGGGGATCAAGTGTGGGTTTCTGTGGAAATATGAGTTCCCTGTCTGACCAAAGTGAGAGCGTGTCAGCATCCTCGGCCCAAAGTCAGACACCTTCATAGTACGTGTCGGCCTCTGCCAGGGTTGCACCTTGTCATTGATTCTGTTTGTGATTTTCATGGACAGGATCTGAAGGTGCAGCCAGGGGGAGAAGGGTTTCCAGTTTTATTTGCTACCTCATGCTGGGACATCCAGCAGGCATTGGGGCACTTTTTAGCCGAATGCAAAGCGGCTTGGATAAGGGTCAGCAACTACAAGTCCGAGGCCATGGTTCTCTGCTGGAAAACATTAGATTGCTCCCTCTGAGTTGGGAGTGAGTCCTTGCCCCAGGTGAATGAGTTTAAGTATTTATGGGTCTTGTTCAAAGCAAGGGTAAAGAGCTGGTCCACTGGCCCACGGCCAGGACAGAATCTGCATTGTTCCTCCTATATCCGATTCAGAATCAGATTCTTTATTGTCCCACAAGGGGAATTTTTTTTTGCAGCAGGAGCACACAGAAGACAACAAACACAAGAACATCACTGTAAGATCTAAATTATAACAAATATATCAATATAAAACATTGCAATAAAATCAGTCGAGAGCTCGTACCAAAATGGGAATTCCTACCCAGTTATGTAAGTGCAAAGAGGAGGCCTGCAAATGTGCAGTTCAAGAGCAAAATGAGCAACCCGAGGGCTAATTGCTATTTTGTATATTAATCACAACAGGGCCAAATGAGACCTGGAGTCTTTAAGTTTTTCTCAGAGGAGCCCTAAAACGATGACCTGAGGGTAAAAGCTCAAACTCAGTTTGAAGTGGGGGATTTGAGCAGACCAGTACAT